TAATAGGAAATAGGGAAATCGTTCTACCTCTAAAAAAAGAATAGAATTCAAAATCAATAAAAGAGCAAATATTTCATAAAATGGCAAAGGGAAATAAAATATCACAAGAGATAAGTTTGTGGGTTACCGTGAAATCCATGTCAACTACTGCTCTCCATCCTTACACTGTACAATCTGGTAGGGAGTTATGAAGTCAACATCCACAGGGTGACTGATTCCTGCCCAACCGTACATCTGTTAAACATAAAGATCAAATGGATGTACCACTTTGATCAAGTGAGATCAGAAAATAAAAATCCCAAATTGCAACAAGTTCAGTGTGTTTCTTACCACTTTTGCTGTTTATATCATAGTCTTCATATATCATATCACGCTGTTTTCATAGTGGATGCTCTGTATTCGGATCATTGCATTATATTCTCCTCTTCTTTGTGCGACAGGCCACCATCCAATTTTTCTTTGCTCCACTCTTTCCCTTTCAAAGATAGAAACTAATATAAGATTAGTAAGATAAAAAAAGAACTGAATAATGTGCCAAAAGAAAAAAATGGAAGCAGAAATACAGGCCAAGAAAATAATTAACCCACCTCTTGTCTGCTTTTTAAGACAGAATCCAAACCTATTCCTTGGTCCTTGGTTGGTAAGTGACTATAAATCCCGATGTTTTCGAAGAGCCCTACTGCTCTACAGTATGATGCAATATATATTCGGACAAGATGGCGGCGTGTTTACATTCGATACGAAACTAGGTCAATTTTCGAGTATAGATATTGCAGTAAAAAACATGAAATAAATAATGAAACTTACCTAGTACTTTGTGAGATGCCCTTTTAGACGAATTACATTCATTAATCTGCGGGGAATAGATCGGTAGAGGCATTTAACGAAGTCTGGGCTGATCTCCCTCCAAATACACTGGATTTCGTGGAAAAGATCATCCTTACTCGCGATCCTCCCAACTCGTGTCTGTAACTTTCTCTTGATAAGTAACCAAAGATTCTCAATGATATTGATATCGGGACTTTGTGCAGGCCAGCTCATTCCAGTTATTCTATTTCTGTGCATAAATTCCTGGGTAGTTCTCGCACGATGTACAGGGGCATTGTCATCCTGGAATATATAGTCACCAGATGGAAAATGGCGAGCAATAACTGGCCACAGATTGTTATCAAGAATATCCTGGTATTTTTCAGCGTTAATATTTCCATTTACAGTCGTGATGGTACCAATTCCATGCCAAGTAATACACCCCCAGATCATGACCTCAAAGCATGGTTTCGAAAGGCGCTTTTTAGTCACCAAATCAGGCCTCCACCCTTCACCCCTCTTACGCCAAACATACACCCTTGAATCACGTCCAATAACAATTTTTGATTCGTCCGAGAAAATAACTTTCTTCCAAAATCCTTCCACTGTTAACTTTCGTTTTTCCCGGCACCATGACAATCTCTTTCTTCGATTTACCTCCCTTATCACTAGTTTCTTCTTCGATACACGTCTTGTAAATCCATTTTTATGTAAATGAAGTTGTAATGTACGCTTAGATACGGGAATATCCCTGTTTTCATTAAATTTATTTGTAATTTCTGTTAGACTGTCCCTCCTGTTAACTTTAACTAACCTTTCTAAGTATCTATAGTCACGTTCTGTCACAGTAGGCTGTCGACCACTTCGCGGGATGTTTTCTACTGAACCTCTCTCTTCAAAACGTTTTTTCAGTGATCCAATGGTGGAGTGGGACACACTGAGAACATCTGCCACATACCTGACAGTTTTTCCCTCATCAAGTAATTTCTTGGCGACTTCTTTCACCTCACTACTGAGTTCTTTTCCTTTTCTACCCATATCACTTTCAGCCGTCAAAATTTGTAAACAAAGCAGACGAAAATAAAATCACGTGACATATCAAATGTCACATGACCATCGGAGGTTAAAAATAACTACGCAAAATACCAACGATATTTTTAAACCTTTTTATTTACATCAAAATATGTAACTTACAGGACGAAAATGTAAACACGCCGCCATCTTGTCCGAATATATATTGCATCATACTGTACATCCTATCAATGGAAAGGTTAGAGGTCAAAATGGGTCTCACTCTGTTCTTAACCAATAAAAGAATGCAATAAAACAATAAAACGGGCTTAAATCTTACCACCACATCATTCCAAAGTGGTTGTCATTTGGGGCAACTCTAACTAAATGTTGGTTTACGCTAGCTGCATCTGCCAAGTGATAAAAGGGGGATAAATGCATTTAGTCTCTTTCAGTTGAGCAGAGAAACTGAGCTTGCAGAGGTATAAAATGTAAAACTATATCTTTTTACCCGTTTGTTTAGGACTGGACTCGGTTCACTGGACTCGGTTCACTGGACTCTTCCATGGGTAACAGACTGCTCTCAAATATGTAGGAAATAGGGAAATTGTTCTATATCTAAATTAAAAATAGAATGGACGTCAACAACAAAAATAGCAAATATTTCATAAAATGGGGAAATAAAATATTGCAAGGGAGAAGTTTGTGTCTTACCCTGAATTCCATGTCAACTACTGCTCTCCATCCTTACACTGTACAGTCTGGTAGAGAGTTATGAAGTCAACATCCACAGACTGACTGATTCCTGCCAAACTGTACATCTGTTAAATTAAAAATAGAAAGAGGTCAAATGGATGTACCACTCAGATCAAGTGAGATCAGAAAAAAAATCCCAAATTGCAACAAATTTAGTGTGTCTTTTACCACTTTTGCTGTTTATATCTGTTTTCATAGTGGATACTCTGTATTCAGATTGTTGCATTATATTCTCTTCTTCTTTGTGAGGCAGGCCACCATCCAATTTTTCTATGCTCCACTCTTTCCCTTTCAAAGACAGAAACTAATATAAGATTAGTTAAGTCAAAATAATAATTGAAAAATGTGCCAAAAGAAAAAAATAGAAACAGAAACACAGGCCAAGAAAATAATTAACTCACTCTTGTCTGATTTTTAAGACAAAAACCTTTTCCTTGGTCCTTGGTTGGTAAGTGACTATAAATCCTATTGTTTTCGAAGGGCCCTACTGCTCTACATCCTATCAATGGAAAGGTTAGAGGTCAAAATGGGTCTTACTCTGTTCTTTAGCAAATAAAAGAGTGTGCAATGAAAGGGGCTTAAATCTTACCACATCATGGTAAAGGGCAATAAAATATGACAAGGGTTACCCTAAAGTCCATGTTAATGACTTCTCTCCTTCCTTACACTGTTCTTTGGGGAACAGACTGCTCTAAAATAGATTATGGTGAAATTGTTCTATCTCGAAATAAAAAAAATTGACTGTAAGTCAACAACAAAAATAGCAAATATTTCATAAAATGGCAAAAGGAAAATATACTGATTCCATTCCTGCCAAACTGTACATCTGTAAAATTAAAAATAAAAGAGGTCAAAAAGGTATACCACTCAAATCAAGTAAGGACAGAAAGCAAAAATCCCAAATTGCAACAAATTCAGTGTGTTTCTTACCACTTTTCCTATTTTTATCTGTTTTCAAAGTGAATATTCTGTATTCGGATCCTTGCAACATGTTCTCCTCTTCTTTATGTGTGCAACGACCATCAGTCTGTTCTATCCTCCATCTTTCCGTTTCAAAGATAGAAACTAATGCAAGATTAGTTAAGTTAACAAAGGATTGAGAAATGTGCAAAAAGAAAAAAATAGGGAAAAAATAAGCTAAGAAACGATTACTCTTGTCTGCTTTTTAAAGACAAAAACTAAACCTTTTAAGTGATTCCTCCTTGCTACATGCCTTGCTGCTTCCGGTGGGATCTGCTGTCATCATTAAGCCTGTCGAAAGTTTAGAGGTCAAAATTGGACTCAATATACCTCATGTGAACACAACTCATTAATTCCAAAAATGTCAAGAGAAAAACATCTTACTGCATCATCCAAAGTTTGCAGTTGTTGATTCGACAGACTTTTATTTGTTGTTCCTCCAAGCATGCCAAGTCCTCTTCTGCTAACAAAAGAAGAATAAAGATGCCAGGTCTCCTTCAGTTGAGCACAAGTAACATAAATCAAGAAAGAGTGAGCAGAGCAAGGAGATATTCTTTCATTCTCTCAACATTACCTGAAGAATTTGTCAAAGTGCTCTCAACTCTTCTTTTGATGAACAGGCTGCTCTCGGATAGACGGTTGGAGGCAAATCTATTTTTTATCCAAAAATAAATGATAAAATGAAGTCAATTAAAATGCAAAGATTACATCAAATTGCAGATCAGGGAGAAAATGTCAAAGGGGGAATTTTATGTCTTACCCTTAATTTCTTGTTAAGAGTGTTGTCCATCCTTACTCTTGGTGCTCTCATTGAAGATTCATCCAGTCGACATCCATATTGGGACTGGTTCTTGTTAAGCTTTTCGTCTATTGATTGAAAAAAGAAAAAGATCAAACAATTGCACCATTTGGATCATTGAGAATAGAAAACAAAAATACTGAAAAATGCCGTCAAAAGCAGTTTGCTTCTTACCAAGATGGATAATGGTGGCCTCTTGTCATAGTGGAAACTCTGTATCTGGATTTCTGCAATGAGCTCCTATTTGTTGTGTAGCCAGCCAATGTCTGCCTGTCTTAATATCCTCTCCATCTTTCTCAAAATAGAAACTGATACAAGATTATTCAAGTCCAAAAAGATTTTTTTTTTTAACTGGACATAATAATGATATATTCAAAATATACATATTAATAAAGAAAGACAATTACAACAGGAGAGTGCATTTGTTAGTAATATTAGAAAGAATTAGGGCATAGAAATACAAGCTAAAGAAATATTTCAGCTCACCTGATATTTGGTTTTTAACACAAAAACCAAACCTTTTCTATGGTCCTTGGTTGCTCATTGGCTACGTGTTGCTGCCTCTGGTGGGACCTGCTGTCATACAGCCTGTCAATTGAAAGCTTAGGGGTCAAATGGGACTAAATGGCATTAAATTAAATTAAATTAATGGGGAAAAAATCTCAAGACTTTATTGAATAACTAAAGGAGTTACAAGGGGTCTCTTACCCTAAATTCCAAGTTAGGACTGTTGTCCATCTTAACTCTTTGTGCTCCATTAAAGAGTCAGTCAGACGACCTCAACAGTGAGAATGATTATTGCCATGCTTTTCATCTGTTAATAAATGATTGAAAATTAAAAAGAGATCAAACAAATGCACAATTTGGATCGAGTAAAAACAATAAAAAAAATTGCAACAAATACAGCTTGTTGCTTACCGCATTGGCTTTTTTTTGCCTGGTGCCATAGTACAAATCCATACCTAGATCATTGCAATGGTCTTTTCTACTTGTGGTTGGTCTCTGTTTTTTAAGCTTCTCTGCCCTTGTCAAAGATAGAAACTGAAACAAGGTTAGTGAAGTCCTCAAAGAAAGTACAAAAAATGACAAACTATAAAACATATGAAATAAATGTTCGCAAAGAGAGACAATTACAAATGTGCAAGTGTTAGTAATGTTAGAAATAAAGGAATAGTAGAGGTAATACAATAGAAATAAAAGCTAAAGAACTCAACTCACCTCATATCTGGTTTTTATACAAAAACCAAACCTTTTCTGTCGTCCTTGGTTGCTAAATAAGTGGATTCGTGACTTGCTGCTTCTGATTGAACCTGTTACCATACAAGCTGTCAATTAAAAAGTTCAGGGGTCAAATGGGACTCAATCTAGGTCATGTGAACACAATTTATAAATAATCAAAATCTCGTGGAAAAGAGCCTGCATCTTACCGCTTCATCCAAAGATTCGGCAAACTCCTATATATTCAATGTTGCTCCATGATAGTCATATCCCCTTCTGATAAAGAAAAGAAGATGTCAAAGATATAAATTTCCTTCTCTTGATCAAATGTAACATAAATCCAGAAAGAGATAAAAGAGTAAGGAGGCATAACTTACAACAGTGAAACCTGTCTAATCCGACATGCACTGGGAGACACATTTTGTATCAGAATAGACAGGATGTCGGATTGCACCGTGTTAAAAACATGGAAAATAGAATACTGGAGATTAGACACTGTAGTGCCTTTAGAATTGGCCGCTGTGTGCTGGGCTCTCCTTTTGATATCAGATTGCTCCCTAACAGGAGGTTGGAGGCCAGTCTATTTTTGATTAAAGAATTAAATGAAAGTCAATACAAGGGCTTTTTCAAACTCTAAATGAGAAATTTTCAGAATGAGGAGTTTGTCTCTTACTGTCAATTCCATGTTAATTAAGACTGTTGTCCATCATTACTCTTGGTACTCTCATTGAGGAGTCATCCAGTCAACCCCTGCAGAGTGACTGATTCTTGACAAGTTTTGTTTTTGTCTGCCGATTGAAAAATAGAAAAAGAGATCAAACAAGTGAACAATTGAAATCAAGTGAGAATAGAGAGCAAAAAAAAAAATTGTGTCTTACCAAGTTGACTATTGTTGACCTGTTGTCTTAGAAGATACTCTGTATCTAGATTCTTGCAATGCTCTCCTACTTGATGTGCTGGTGGCTACTGTCTGTCTGTCTTATACTCCTCTATGCCCTTCTCAAAGATAGAAACTAATGCAAGATTATTCAAGTCCAAAAATAATTTTAAAAACAAAACAGAATATGTAAGATACATGTACATACTAATCAAAACAACCATATGAAAGGGAATGTGCATGTGTTAGTTATGTTAGAAAGAGGTAAGGCTTGGAAGTAAAAGCTAAATACACAATTCAATTCAACTCACCTCATATCTGGTTTTCAATACAAAAACCAAACCTTTCTGTGGTCCTTGGTTGGCTTCTTGCTGCCTCCGGCCTACCAATTGAAAGTTTAGAGGTCAACATGGGACTTGTATGAGCTAGAGAGCTCATGTGAACACAATTGATAAGTAACCAAAATATAAAGACAAGGAATTTTAAAAAAAACGAATCTTACTGAATTCTCCACAGTTGGCAGTACTTAGTTAATCGGATAAATTCCTAATAAATGGTGCTTACTTTTGGTGCTTTGGTTGAAAGGTCATTGAGTCGATCTACACAGAGGGACTGATTCTTGCTTATCTATCCCTATAACATATAAAAGATCAGACAAGTGAATCATTTAGATCAAGTGAATTCAGAAATTAACAAAATTCCATAATGACAACAAATGCTGTTTTTTTTTACCACATTTGACTTTTGTTTGCCTGAAATATGTGTTCAGATCCTTCTTATGTCCTCCTCTTTGTTGTGCAGCCGGCCATTGTTTGTCTGTCTGTAAAATACTCCTTTCTGTCCTTGTCAAAGAGAAAAACTGATAAAAGATTAGTAAAGTCAAAAAGAATTACATACAAGAAAAAAACACGTATGAAAAATGCATTAAAAAATAATTTGTTAGAAAGAGAGACAATTACAAAGGGAATGTGCAAATCTTAGTTATAAGAAAAGGGGAAAGGGGGTATTCTGCATAGACATAAAAGCTAAAGAAACAATTCAGCTCACCTCATTTCTGGTTTTTATTATGAAAACCAAACCTTTTCTGTGGTCCTTGGTTGCTAATAGGCTACATGTCTTGATGCTTCCGGTGGGACCTGGTGCTATACAGCCTGTCAAATGAAATTTAAAGGTCAAAAACATGGAACTATAGTCCAAGTCAACACAAGTTAAAAATTAGCAACATGTCAAAAAAAAGAACTCGAATCTTACCATATCATTCTAAGTTGGCAGTGGTAAACTGGACAAACTTCTACTCAATTTTGCCTACTTTTAGCGTTGATAAGTCATTGAGTCGACCTACGTGGAGGGGCTGATTCTTTCTAAGCAATTTGACTGTTAAAACATGGAAATAGATCAGACAATTGAACCATTTGCATCAAGTGAGTTCAGTAATCAAAAATTCCACAATGGCAACAAATGCAATTTTTTTTTACCATATTTGACTTTCGTTTGCCTGAAGTAATAATGTGTTCAGATCCTTGCTATGTTCTTCTCTTTGTTGTGTGGCCGGCCACTGTCTGTCTGTCTGTCTGTCCTGTACTCCTCTCTGCCCTTGTCAAAGAGAGAAACTGATACAAGATTAGTGAAGTCAAAAAGAATCAAACACAAGAAACGAAAAAAAAACACATATGAAAAAAGGACATTACAAAAAAAATAGTTAGAAAGAGAGACAATTACAAAGGGAAAGTGCAAATGTTAGTAACATGAAAGGGGAATGGAGGGTATTTTGCATAGAAATACAAGCTAAAGAAACAGGTCAGCTCACCTTATATCTGGATTTTAATGCAAAAACCAAACCTCTCCCTCGGTCGATCCTGGCTGCTGAGTGGCTATATATCCTGCTGCTCTTCATCTTATCAGTAGAAAGTCTAAAGGTAAAATTTGGATTCATGCTATATCTTGTGAAGCAAATTAAAAAATACATGTCAATTTTTCAAGAATAAACTTCCATGTCACCATAGTTTTAGTTCATTCTAAACCTTTGTTTGAAAACAAAAGTGCAAAGGAAATTCATACATAAATTGAACTTTAGCTATTTTGGCCGATTTTTGCTAGAGTATTTTGTTAAGTTTTTAAATCAATCCGTTTTGCATAGCAATGAAACCCCTGGTACTTTAAGATCAATTCTTGGATCTTAACTTCTATCCCACTTTTGATTGCAGTAAATTTCCCTTAAAGACTTTTGAAAAAATTACTTGTAGTTCTCATCGCATTCTCAACAAAAATCATAATCCAAAATTGTAACAAAGGCAGTTTGTTTCTTACCAAGTTGGCTAATGTTGGCTTGGTCATAGTGGATACTCTGATTCCCGATCCTTGAAATGCTCTCCCTTTTGTTGTGTGGCCAACCACTGTCCGTCTGTTTGTCTGTCCTTTACTATCTCCACCCTTGTCAAAAATAAAAACTGATACAAGATTATTTAAATGCTTTTTTTAAGAAAAAGACACAACAATAATATATTTAAAACACATACTAACAAAGACAATGACAAAGGAAAGGTGCATGTATTAGTAATGTTAGATGGCTTAGAAATACAAGCTAAAAAAGCAATTCAGCTCACCTTATATTGGTTTTGATACAAAAACCAAACCTTTTCCATGGTCCTAAGTTGGAAAGTGGCTTCATGTCTTGACCCTTTCATGGGGAGGGGGGCTGTTATCATATAGTTTGTCAATTAAAAGTTTGGTGGTCGAATAAAACTCAGTTTAGCTCATGAGAATTAACACATTAAAAATTCAGAAGGTGACAAAAAGCTCGAACCTTACCTTATCATCTAAAGTTGACAAATTCCTCCTCAAGTTGCTTTCTTGCGGTCTTTTGCTTGATAAGTCAATGACCCGACCTACAAATAGGGTAGATTCTTGCTAAGTTTTTTCTCTGTTTCATGAATCATTGAAAGAGATCTAACAAGTGAATCATTTGGATCAAGTGAGTTCAGAAATCAAAAATTCCACAATAACAACAAATGCAGGTTCTTACCACATTTGACTTTTGTTTGCCTGAAGTAATAATGTCTTCATATCCTTGTTATATCCTCCTCTTTTTTGTGTGGCCGGCCACTGTCTGTCTGTATTATACTCTTCTCCGCCCTTATCAAAGAGAGAAACTGATAGAAGATTAGTAAAGTCCAATAGAATTCAAAACAAAATCAAAGAGAAAAATGGAATTGCATACAGAAAATAAATTTGTTAGAAGGATGGACAATTACAAAAAGGAACGTGCAAATGTTAGTTAAATGTATAAGAAAAGGAATAAGAGGGTATTTTGCATAGAAATAAAAGCCAAAGAAAAAAAATCAGCTCACCTCATGTCTGAATTTTAATACAAAAACCAATTAAACCTTTCCTGGCTGCTAAATGCCCACATATCATGTTGCTCTTTATCCTATCAAGGGAAAGTCTAAAGGTGAAACTTTGATTCCGACTAAAGAAAAATGTCAATAATTTAAAGAATAAAACCGCCATATTTCAAGTTCATTCTAAACCTCTTTTGAAAACAAAGGGCTAGGGAATCCATGCATAAATTAAAAGAGCTATTTTTGTCGACTTTTGCTGGAGTATTTTATTAAGTTGTTGAAGTGTCCTGTTTTGCATAGCAATGAGGCCTTTGGTACTTTCAAAATGAACTCTTGAATCAAACTTTTCTTACAAACCCATTGCCAAATTTGTCCCTCTTTTGATTACAATAAATTTCTCTTAAACATTTTTTAAATCTTTTATGTATAACTAGTAGTTCTCATCGCATTCTCAACAGAAATCATAATCCAACATTGCAACAAAAGCAGCTTGATTCTTACCAAGTTGACTATAGTTGGCCTGTTGTCATAGTGGATTTTCTGTTTCCAGATCTTTGCCAGGCTCTCCTTTCTGTGCAGCCCGCCACTGTCTGTCTGTCTGTCTGTCCTATACTCCTCTCTGCCCTTCTCTAAGATAAAAACTGATACAAGATTATTCAAGTCAAAATGTTTCAAAAGCAAGACAGAATAATAATGTTTTAAACACATACATGTATTACAATGAAAAACAATCAGAAAGGGAAAGTGCATGTATTAGAAAAAAGTAGGGTTTAGAAATACAATCTGAAGAAACATTTCAGCTCACCTCATGTCTTGTGTTAATACAAAAACCAAACCTTTTCCTTGATCTTTTGTTGTTAAGTGGCTACATGTCTTGGCCTTTTTTTTTTGGGGGGGGGGGGGGGGGGGGGGGAAGCTGCTGTCATGTAGTCTGCAAATTGAAAGTTAAGGGGTCAAATGGGAAATTGTCTATCTCTGTCTATTTGAACACAAGTTAAAATTAGCAAAGTGTGAAGGAAAAAGAATGAATCTTACCTTGTCATCTAAAGTTGTCAGTAGTTGAGCAGACAAATTCCTTCTCAAGGTCTTTACTTTTGGCCCTCTGCTTGAGTCATTGAGCCGATTGATTCAGAGGGGCTGCTTTTTGCTAAGTTTTTTTGTCTACTGAGTGAAACGTGAAAAGTTATCATAACAAGTGAATCATTTGAATCAAAAGAGTTCAGAAATCAACAATTTCCAAAAATGACGACAAAGACAGTGTCTTACCCCATTTGATTTCTGTTTGCCTGAAGTAGTAGTAGATATGCAGTGTCAGATTCTTGTTGTATCGTTATGTTTGATGTGTGGCCGGCCACTTTCTGTCTGTACTTTACTCCCCTGCCCTTTTCAAAGAGAGAAACTGATAGAAGATTAGTAAAGTCAAAATGAATTATCCCCCCCCCAAAGAAAAAAAACAAACAAACAAACACACACACAAAAATGAAAAATGCATACAAAAAATAATTTGTTAGAGAGAGAGACAATTACAAAATTGAAAGTGCAAATGTTAGTTATAGGAAAAGGGATAAGAGGGTATTTTGCATAGAAAAAAGCTAAATACACAATTCAGCTCACCTTATAACTGGTTTTCAATATAAAACCAAACCTTTCCCTTGGCCGTTCCTGGCTGATAAGTGGTCATATATCCTAGCTGATGTTCTTCATCCTATCAAAGGGAAGTTTAAAGGTAAATCTTGGATGCAGTTTGGATCTTGTGAAACAAATTTAAACAAGAGATGTTTGTAAAACACTTATGCCCTCCTCCCCCAAATTGGAATTTTTCCAAGTCCAAAAGGGCATAACTCTGTCAAAAATGGCGCGATTGTACCAAAAACATAAGTTAACCTAGATATTCATCTGAGAAATCTGTATACCGAATTTCATCTCAGTATGTGTAACGGTTGTAAAGAACATGAACGAAAACTGCAATTAATTGGAATTTTTCTCAGTTCAAGAGACATAACTCTGTCAAAAATGGTGCGATCGTACCCTAAACAGAACTTGACCTAGATATTCATGTGATATATCTGTATACAAAATTTCATTTCAGTATGTGCAGCGGTTGCAAAGAAAATGAACAGAAACTAAGTGGACCGACCGACCGACAGACCGACGCAAAGCAACATGCACGTAGCATCGTTTTTGAAAGTGGGGGGGGGGGGGGACCTGCGAAAAACAAGAGGCCCATGGGCCACATAGCTCACCTGAGCAATGTAGCTAGGAAAATCTTTAGCATAAATCAGTTTATTTTTGAAAAGTTAAAACCCAAAAGTGGTCCCAACCAATCCTTAAAAGGGAGAGAGTATGACTTGAACAAACTTGAATCTACACTAACTATGGATGCTTGCATATTTCTTTGACTACCTGTGGCTTTATTGCCCTTTACATTTGAACTTCCATTGTGGCCCCATCCTGCCCCACGGGTCATGACATGAACAAAATTGAATCTACACTATGAAAAAGACTAATCATGGCTTTGCTATTCCTGAAAAGAAGATTTTCAAAGATTTTTTCTACATGTTTCTATGTAAAACTTGGATTCTATGTTGTGGCCCTGCCCTGCCCCCAGGGGTGATGATCTGAATAAACTTGAATGCCCATTATCTGAGGATGCTTCTATAAAAATATGATCATTCATGCCTTTGCAATTCCAGAGAAGAAAATGAAAATTTTTAAAGAATTATCCTATACATTTCTATGTGAAACTTTGATCAGCCATTGTGGCCCCGCCCTACCCGCTAGGGGTCACGATTTGAACAAACTTGAATATCCACTACCTGAGGAAGTTCCATGAAAATATGATCAATCATGCCTATGCTATTTCAGAGAAGAAGATTTTTAAAGAATTTTCCTAAATATTTCTAAGTAAAAAACTTTGATCAGCCAGTGTGGCCCTGCCCTACCCCCGGGGGCCATGATTTGAACAAACTCAAATCTACACTACCTGAGGATGCTTCCATATAAGTTTCATCTTTCCTGGTACAGTGGATCTTAAGAAGAAGGTTTTTAAAGAATTTTCCGATACATTTCTATGTAAAACTCTGATCGGCCAGTGTGGCCCCGCCCTAACCCCCACCCCCAGGGGTTTGAACAAACTTGAATCTACACTACTTGAGGATACTTCCTTATAAGTTTCATCTTTCCTGGCACAGTGGTTCTTGAGAAGAAGATTTTTAAAGAATTTTCCTATACATTTAGAACTATGTAAAACTTTGATCGGCCAGTGTGGCCCCGCCCTACCCTCGGGGGTCATGATTTATATAAACTTGAATCTACACTACCTGAGGATTCTTCCCTATGAGTTTTATCTTTCCTGGCACAGTGTTTCTTGAGAAACCTATGAGTTTTATCTTTCCTGGCACCGTGGTTCTTGAGAAAAAGATTTTTAAAACATACCATCAAATTTCCACAATTTCTGAATTATCTCCCCTTGAATAAGAGCGTGGCCCTTCATTTGAACAAAATTGAATCCCCTTTATCTCACTCAGGATACTTTGTGGCAAGTTTGGTTGA